AGGGAGAGAGAGATAGAAACATCAATGATGAGAGAGAACCATTGATCAGCTACCTCCTGCACGCCCCCCCACTGGGGATCAAGCCCGCAACCCGGGCATGTGCCCTTGACCAGAATCGAACCTGGAACCCTTCAGTCCCCAGGCCGAAGCTCTATCCAGTGAGCCAAACCTGCCAGGGCTTTAATCCATTTTTAAAGGATTATCTATTTCAAGATAATCCTTTAAAATTATCAGTCAGACATTTCTCATTTTAGAACCCTTTAGTCCAGCGGTTCTCAACCTGTGGGTCTCGACCCCTTTGGCGGTCGAACGACCCTTTCACAGGGGTCACCTAAGACCATCCTGCATATCAGATATTTACATTATGATTCATAACAGTAGCAACGTTACAGTTATGAAGTAGCAACGAAAATAATTTTATGGTTGGGTCACAACATGAGGAACTGTATTTAAAGGGCCAGAAGGTTGAGAACCACTGCTCTAGTCACTAGAGTCTAGCTTTCTATCTCACTCAGAGTCAAAGTGGCCTAAAGGCCCTATACTACCTGCACCCCCTCCCCAGCCCATTTCCTCTCTGATTTCATCCTATAATAATCTTCTTTGGGAATTTTTGTCTGTTTTGTTTACTGAGGTTTTCTTAGCATATTTTAGTAATAATGCTTGGCATATGGTAAGGTGATTAATAAATATTTGTTGAATTAATGAGAATTATCTAACTCTAAAGTATACCCTTTTCATGATTTCCTTCTACGCATATATTGGTGGCTCTGAGTTAAATTTGCTTGGCTGGACTCTCTTCAAAGTGGCTCTTATATCAAAGTTTCACTTTTGGACCAACAGACGAGACATTTGGTCTCCTGGGGTTTTAGTGGCTTTCATTCCTTTAAGCATGAGTTGGCCCAGATTCTTATGCAGTAGTTACAAAATTGATCAATAAGGGTATTTTGCAGGAAGAATAAGCCAGAAAAGCAGCACTGCTTCTATAATTTAGAGGCTATTGTTTGTTACTTCTGGATTTTAAAAAATTAAATAAAAATAAATTCTAATAAGAGCCAAGTTAAAATTTTCACATGGACATGTAATATTCATTGTTACTCAACTATCTCGATGACATTCTGTAACAATTGCTTAATTTCTGGAAAAATATTTCTAAACAACTTAAGTATGCCAATAGCTTTTGTACAGGCCTCTCTTTTGGTCACACACACTGAGGGAATAATGTGGGAGTGGATACAAACAAGGCTAGCTTTAGACTATCTAAAGGCTATCAAATGTAAGTTAAGTAAATTATGTTCCACTTATATGATGGAATACCTTACTATTATGCAGACATTTAAAAGCATGTGACATGAAGAAACATTTGTGGTATAACGTTTAAATTAAAGAGTAGATTAAAATAAGCATATATAACTTGATACAAATTTTTGTGGCAGTTTATTTTGTTGAGATATTAATTCTACGTGTTCTCCTATTCCCCCGCCCCTCGTCCCCATCCAAGCAGGTATCTAGACCTCGGGTTTTTATAAGGCAAAAATCAAAAGCTGCTTAGAGACAACATAAGCTCTCCTTGTCTTTTGAAATGAGAGGAATGCCTTTAAGGGTGAGGTAGAAGAGAGGTTTAGAAGTCTGTAGCCCATTGGTGAAGTGAACAGCTAAGACTTCCATTTAGCTCTGTGACAGGGCAGAGGATGGTGGCACAACCCCAAAGATGAAGGCTGCACCTGGCTGCAGGGGCTGCCAGATTCACTCACTTGATTCCAGACTGTTGAGTTCCAACGATGGTAAAGGAATATTGGAGTCATCACATCTGAAGGAAAGATGGCACATAAAAGGGAATTTCAGCAGTAAATCAATGTGTAAAGACGACCAAATAATTTGAGGTAATCCCAGATACTTCCACAATAATTATGGCCCTAGTAACTTTGTACAATCCTATATGGAGAGGGAATGCTCAATAATAATGGAGATTGAGTTTCCACCAGCATGGTAGGATGGTAGCTCAGGGTTAGATTCAAGTTGATATAAAGAAATGCAGTCTTTCTTTATATGGAGTAAGAGTCTCACCCACAATGTACATACAGACAATGTTTTACAAATTATAAATATTGGAAAATATATTCTCAGGATAATTTCCTTCCATTCTTTAAGGAGATATTGTTGTAAGGAAAAGAAATCACTAAAATTTTAACTGTGATTTCCTCTACCTATTGTATGATGGGATTATTCTTCATACTGTGCATTTGAAAAAAATTAAATAAATGTATATTCCTTTCATAATTGGAAAAATTATAAGAACAACTGCAGCCCTAACCGGTTTGGCTCAGTGGATAGAGTGTCAGCCTGTGGACTGAAGGGTCCCAGGTTCGATTCCGGTCAAGGACACATGCCTGGGTTGCGTGCAGGAGGCAACCAATCAATGATTCCCTCTCATCATTTATGTTTCTACCGGTATCTCTCTCTCCCTCTCCCTTCCTCTTTGAAACAAATAAATAAATAAATAAAATAAAATAAAAAAGAATGAATTTTTAAAAAAAAGAACAACTGCAACATGATTTTTATTAGATATCTGAGCAGGTACAAAACAGGGAAGGGCATATATCACAATCTTAGGTTCTATTTTCCAGCTGTTTCAAACCTACTGGTATTGTTCCTAGAAGCATAATATACACTAAACCTCAAGAAAAGATAACAGGTTTGTCTCATATTAAAAAAAAAGTATTAGACCACCTGCACCCTGTAAAAATATAAAATATTACTGTATCAGTCAGAGTAGCAGCAAGAAACAGATGGCACAACAAAAGGGGCAACTGAAGGGAGTATGATCAGAATGTGGGTAGGAAAACAGCAAGAGACGATGCCGTACCACTGCCAACCTGGTGCCAACATGGAGAGAGAAGGGGTAATAAATACTTTATCTCCTACTGCCTTCTGATCTCCTGCTCGCACCCTCCATCAGCTGAGTTCAACCAGAAGCCAGAGAGGAAGGGAATTGCTGCTGTAATCCATAAAGGCTGAAGTAGATACACAGGGGTAACAGAGAATATCTAGCATGGTGACATTAAAGTGCAAGCAATTCTACAATTTTACTGTAAATATTTTCAAATTTAAAGATTCTACTAGAAGAGTACTAAAAATACAAAGTTTTAGATAGCCATCTTTGGTACTATGCAATGTATGGATAAAAATATTCATTATATAGTATTTTTATAATAGCGGAGACTTGAAAATAATCTAATTGCCACCCATAATTAAGTTATTAGATTCCTACACAAGGGAATACTATGCAACTGTTGAAAACAATACAGATCATTACTTATGGATATGAAAAGATGGCCATATTTTTTAAGTGTACTATTCATTCAGTAATATTCATTAAGCAGTTAGTATGTGCGAGGCATTGTGCTAGGTGCTGGAGAAACAAAAGAGAACAATCTGTCAATTTAAATCTGTTATTTTAATCCACTAAATTAACAGTGATTTTAAAAAATGACAACTAATATTGTTGAATTTAAGGAGGAGGACATTCATATACTATTGTTCAGAGTAAATTGGTAAAACATTTCTGGAGGGCAGTGAGCACTTTTTATCAAAAGTCTTAGAAATATCCATTTCATTTGACTCTGTAATTCCATTTTTATGAATTTATTCTAAAGATTCTAAAGAAGGGAACAGAGATGTACACGAAAAAATGTACCAAACAGCTCATAAATAAATTGCTTGGGAGGAGGGGTACTTAAATATTAAACAATAGGGACTTCGGTAAATAAAATATATGGACATAAGGCTTCCGGAATACTAGGAGGCTGTGTTTAACCTGGAAATTGTTTAACATGGAAAAATGTCCAAAATATATAAGTGAAAGTGTTTAAAAAGAGTGACACTCAATTGTCCCAAACTTGAATCAATCACTTAAGTGATCTCACATCCTTAAGGATCCTTTCCTTTTTTAAAATATGTTTTTGTTGATTTCAGAGAGGAAGGGAGAGAGAGCTAGAAACATCAATGATGAGAGAGAATCACGGATCAGCTGCCTCCTGCACGCCCCACGCTGGGGATCTACTGGGGATCGAACCATGACCTCCGGGAATCGAACCATGACCTCTGGGGATCGAACCATGACCTCCGGGAATTGAACCATGGCCTCTGGGAATCGAACCATGGCCTCTGGGAACCGAACCATGACCTCATGGTTCATAGGCGGATACTCAACCACTGAGCCACACCGGCCAGCCTCCTGAGGGATCCTTTCCACTCTTACCTGAGCCTAGGAACTCAAAATTAGTCATCGTCGGCTGTCGGTAGACGTTAGGTTGGCAACTGTTTGCAGTGTCCTCAACTATTTAATCTTAGGAACTTACTAATGCTCTCAAAAGAGAAAATACATATTTCCGAAGAGAGTGTCCTTTTTTTTTTCTTAGTGACCTAATCTATCAGAAACTGCGCTTGGTTTAGGGGGGGGCGGGTAACAGAAAGACATTAATGCCCTCAAAAAGTTCAGTCTGGTGGGAAGAAACCAACAATAATGACGAAGAAGGACCAATGACAACAGGCCCTGGCAGATGAGTTCTCCTTTTGGATTCCAAAGCGGAAAGAAAAGCATGTACACAGACAACATGCTCCAGCCAGAGTGTTATGGTTGACCCAGAAGACGGCCCGCTATGTCGTGCCTTTCTCGCGGCAGCCTCGTTCTTCTCCCGGTCACACCACACACCCAATCTCGGTGGACGGTACACGAGAGGCTGAGCCGCGCACAGGATCACCCGAGTGTCAGCGGTCTTCCCGGCCGGGCCAGTGAGAAACTGGAGGAGATGTGTCTGCAACACACAGGTCAGTCGCGAGGATGCGAGAAGCGTAACTTGGTGCTGGCCGCCCAGCAGCTCTTCGGCGCCGGGGACATCCCGGCCCGGGATTTCCCGCCAATCTCAGTGCCACCTTCTCCGAGGCCCCGCCCACCTCCGAACGTCAGAGCTCGGAGGGCGGGGAAGCGTTGGACGCCTATCGATGACTCTGGGATAGAATGCTCTGCCCTGCGCCTCTGCCGTCGAAATGACGTAGACTTCCCTGTCGATCGCCGAGCGGTAGTTTCGGCAGCGCTCCCTGATCCGCAGCCTTGCAGGAGGAGCCGCCAGCCAGGGCCGCGTCGGAACCATGGTGCGTTGGGTTCCAAGCCCAGGCAGGGTTGGGGCAGAGGTCCGCTAACGGGCCGGTGGCGAGCCGCGTCTCCAGTCAGTCCTTTAGAGCGGCCGGGGGCCACGGGGCACGGAGACCAGAGCCGGCGTGAGGGTTCGGGCAGTGATTCAGCATCTCCGGCCCGGCCGGGAGGGAGAGGGGCGGTCGGGAGTCGGTGCGGCCTTTATCCGGGATTGGTTTCACTTTCTGCCGGGCCTCAGACACTACTTCCTCCGTGAACTAGCCTCCTTCGCCCTTCAAGTTCTTTCAGTGGAGCAGATGCTGAGCGGTACTGAATGGTCCCTCGTGCTCTGCGCGGGGGGAAAGGGAGGGGGAAATAGGGACTTGAGTTGGAGGCCTCCCGGTACTGCCATTGCGGACTTGACCCCAGGGTTTGGGTTCCGGTACCGCGTGCATTTTCCTGCTGTGCCCATCTAATTGCCGTCTCCCCTAGAACTCCATGAGAAAAGGCCATTTTCAGCCACATTGTCCAGTCACCTCGTTTTACAGATGAGTAAACCAAGGCTGAGAGGAGGTGTGATGTTATCAGGATTACAACATAGGTCTCAGGGCTTCCAGGACTCAACCTGTTCACCCCCGTGATTGTTCTCCCAGTAGACTTGTTTTAAAAAAAAAGTCATTAAAGCGGTAATGGTTCTGTCGCTGTCGCTATTTGCGTCCACTTCTGCCTTCTTGAGGACATTTTTGTGTTTATTCCTTCAATATGAAGGTCTGTACCTACAAGGCACTATTTTAAGTATGGTGAGCATTCCAAGATAAAATAGACATGTCCCTAAATCATAATATAAGGAAGAAAGGACGCGAGGTGAAGAACTGGTGGGAGTATGTGTTGGGGGAAAGTTGGAAGAAAAGGTGGAGAAACTTCAAGAGAGAGACATTTGAGCTAGATTTTCAAAAAGGGATGCTTTTGATTATTTATTAAAGGCTGGTATAAGGGAAGAACATAAGCAAAGATATGAAGGAGAGTTGACACACATGAACTTTCGGAATTGATGGAACCCAAAAGGAGTCCTGTGTATGGTCTTTGGTAGGATTGGAAGTTGGGAAGAAAGGTCCCACCCAGATCTGCTTCCGCCCTCGCCCACTAGCTCATGTTGTGTGTAAAACTGGCTTGCAACTAAGTACATACAGTAGTAACCTTACAGTAAGATTGTATTGACAGCATTGTATTAATGTTGAATGGGAACAGATGGGAAAACTTTTTTTAAAATTGTTTTTATTGATTTCAGAGATTAAGGGAGACAGAGACAGACAGACATCGATGTTGAGAGAGAATCATTGATCAGCTGCCTCCTGCACGCCCCACACTGGGGATTGAGCTTGCAATCTGGGCATGTGCCTGACTGGCAATCAAACCATGACTTTCTGATTCATAGGTCAACGCTCAACCACTGAACCACACCAGCTGGGCAGGAAAACATTTTTTTTAATAATAGAGCTAGTTAAGAGTTGGGATTTGTAATGTTCTTATATTAATAGGTCTATTTTCTTTTACTTTCAGTTTCGCAACCAGTATGACAATGATGTCACTGTTTGGAGCCCTCAGGTAAATGTTTCATACAATTTCTGTGAAGTGGCTTTTGGTGGCTGCAGTATGTTTAGAAACTCATGAGATTGTAGGCTGTGAGAAAATGGGATAGAATCACTTTGGACAGTCCTGGGCCCTAAATTTATCATTAAAGTAAGTTTTCTGGTTTAAAAATAATCATTTGAGATTTAACTATGCTCACCTGAGATTTGGGAACTCTTTAAATTTATAAGAGGGTCTTGTAAGATGACTCTAAGATATCTTTTTTTTTTTTTTAGGGCAGGATTCATCAAATTGAATATGCCATGGAAGCTGTCAAACAAGGTTCAGCCACAGTTGGTCTGAAATCAAAAACCCATGCAGTACTGGTTGCATTGAAGGTAAGTAAGTAAAGCAATAAGTGTATCTTCCTCGTTTAGAAAACAACTATCAAGCGTAAGTTTCACTGTATAGATAATAAAATTTTAAACTTGTTTGTATGTCTTATAATGTCTGTTTTTAGAGAGCACAGTCAGAGCTTGCAGCTCATCAGAAAAAAATTCTCCATGTCGACAACCATATTGGTATTTCAATTGCGGGACTTACTGCTGATGCTAGACTGCTATGGTGAGTATGATCATGAAAAACAAGCAACATCCCTTTTGACTTATCATTGATTTCATTTCTAGAGAAGAACCAGTTAAGATATGTTAGAGAGTTCTCTACCAGAGTATTTATAAGTTAAAATTGTGAACACTTTAGTGGATTTGGGCTCAGTTATTAAGTATTCCATTTCTTGATTCCTATAATAATAACAAATAGAATTAAGCATATTAGCACATTTGAGAAATCCCTGAATAATGTGAAATTAGTATCTCAGTGTGTATTGTTTGAAATGATGTTTTGTCTAAGAAGAGCTTGACAACTTTTTTCTGATTTCTGAGAAACAGCTGAACTACCCTTGCTTTCTTTAATACACCAGAATTTATTTTTTGAAAAACTTAATTCTGGATACTGCATAGTATACACAGGCGATTTAGATATAGATCTTGTAACTAGGAAATGCAAATCTAGTAATATATCTATAATAAAAGGTAGAAAGTGGAGAGTAATACATAGATGTTTGTGGGAGTCCAAAGGAAATGAAGATTATTTGTAGTTGAAAGGCATTTTGTAAATGAAGAGCTAACGCTTTGAAATCACATAGAATGAGTTTACTTCCTGCCTCTACACTTAGTATCTGAGATTGGGTTAGTTGCTTAAACTCTCAATTTTTTTAGTATTATTTTTTTCAAGGTTATTGTTAAGTAGCCTAATATGTAGAGCACTTAACAGTACCTTCAGGTAATATGTGAGTGTGTGTATTGGGATATGGGAGGTAATAAGCCAAAACTAATATGTTTAAGTCTGTGACTTAAATAGGGAAGAAAGTATATAACCACTAAGGGGAAATTAATGCTAATGTTTAAGATTTGTAGTTATCCAGCGAACTCCTGTTCTCTTAAATCAGTAGTATAGTGACAACATTATTGATTTCTGGCAGTTCTTGAAAATGTAAAATATATTGCACTGTCAAACATTTTATTTAACCCAATCTATCTAAAATGCCTTGTCAACATGTAATCAATACAAAAACTACTGAGATATTTTACATTTTTTTTTATACGACATTTCTTTGACATTTCATGTATATTTGGTATTTATGATACATTTCAATTTAGACCACCCACTTCTTAAGTGCTCAGTAGTCACATGTGATTAGTACATGCAATATTGGGACAATGCAGTCTGAGATAGCCTTGGGAAGTGGACTTAAATAAAGTACTGAGCAAAGAGCTGGTTCCTACAGTCAGCATTTAATCATCAGATGTGACATGCACACAAATTGGACAAAGCAACACAGAAAGAAAGGCGGATATCTGTTGTTTATCCTCTTGCCTTTAATAGTTAGCCATGAATTCCCTTTTCCCCAATGTCAGACTTGCTTGAATTTTGCCAGGTTTAGCAGTGAGATTCAGTAGTCAGGAACAAGTAACAATGTCTTAGTATGGATTCTATTTCTTGCAATTGCTGTCTTGCGGAAATTTTAGTTTTCAAGAAAAAACAGAGTAAACTTGTTCCTGGCTAAAGACAGAATTCAAGATAATCTTTTTGACAGTGGGAAGGATAAGAGAAGAGAGAATGTTCTTTTTCTCTCACTCAGCCTTCTTGCTGTTCTGTAAAGTGCCCTGAAACAAAGGTTTTCTAAAGGAATATTTTAGTTCTGAGGGGTTTTTTTTGTTGTTGAAACTTCATGTACTCCCCTACCCCCAGAGTTTGATATAAAAACGCATCCTTCCATGTCTTTCTGGTTCCCTTATATGAATGTAATCCATGTAAGTGTCTGGAAGAGAGCAAAATGAAATCAAACTACTTAATTTAGATTTGAATAACTCTGTGATTTGAAATTACTAATTTTTCTTGTTTCTTTTTTAGTAATTTTATGCGCCAGGAGTGTTTGGATTCCAGATTTGTATTTGACAGACCTCTTCCTGTGTCTCGTCTTGTATCTCTAATTGGAAGCAGTATCCTTTTTATGTTAGCATTTTGGACATGAACTTTAAAGATTTTTGATACTTAATCCTTTATGTTAGTTATTAGAAATATTGTAATATATAACATAGGTAAGATTGCGGGAAAAAGTTAGTTACTTTTCAATAACAGAATGTTTAAAATTTAGAAAGAATTATGGGAACTTTTACTATAGAAGAATGGGTTCTAAAATATGGAATTGGTTTGCTCTATCATTAGCCCTTATAAGTAATTGATATTTTGCAGACATAGATAAGTTCAATTTCAGTAAAACTAACCAAGAGGAGATTTAAACTTTTTTTTGGTTCTAGATGTCCTAAAAATATTCTTGACTGCTTATATCCAAAACAAATGGAAATTCTCTTTATGAGAAGAAAACATTTTGTGAATAGTTGAACATTTTTTGGTGGATAGTTGAACATTTTTTTAATAATAGGCCAAAGAAATATTGCTCTGTTTTGGTTTTCTTCTTCCTATGGTAGATTATGCAGAAATTTAAAAAAAATCAAAGTTCTTTGTTAATTTTAATTTGAAAAGAAAGATAGTATTTTATTTCTTGTTAGAACAGGCTCTTTAACTAGTTTAAGAGACCCAGATACCAACACAAAGATATGGCCGAAGACCATATGGTGTTGGACTGCTTATTGCTGGTTATGATGTAAGTTCACAGAATATTTTTTACATTTTAATGATTTTTTAAAAACTGACTAGAAATTTTCTAATTTTTAGTTCAATCAAAATCAAGAATTATGTGGTGTTTTTTCCCCTCCTATTTGTAGGATATGGGCCCTCATATTTTCCAAACCTGTCCGTCAGCTAACTATTTTGACTGCAGAGCTATGTCCATTGGAGCCCGTTCTCAATCAGCTCGTACTTACTTGGAGAGACATATGTCTGAGTTTATGGAGTGTAAGTGATTTTTATTTGCCCCCTCCAGTCTTTATATAGTGAATTAACACAGCATCCTAAATGAAGAAAACTACCAGTCTTACAGTAAGAATTTTTTTAAAAATTAAGCCTATGAAGTGTTTATTATTTCTGTTACACATGCTAGTTATTAGCCCTTCTAACTACCGCAGTAGTTACATCCACTAATAGGACTTTTTCAAATACAAATATGTGTCCCCAACCTTGAAGAATCTTGATTCAGTTGTTCGGAAGTGTGCCCCAAACAGTTGAGAAACACTGTTTGCAACTGTTACTTTTCTATGGCTCTGTTCTTACTTTTAGCCACACTGACATTTCTGCATAAACAAATAAAAACTCAGTGTAGCTGTAGGGAAAAAAGGTAAAAGATGTGAGATGGCCCTAGCTGGTTTGGCTCAGTGGATAGAGTGTCGACTGCGGACTGAAGGGTTCTGGGTTCGATTCCACTCAAGGGCACATGCCCGAATTGCGGGCTTGATCCCCATGCAGGAGACAGCTGGTCAATGATTCTCTCTCATCATTGATGTTTCTATCTCTCCCTCACCCTTCCTCTCTGAATCAATAAAAAAATATTTTTAAGAAATGTGAGATGATAGGACAGGTTTCCAAGTGCTTTGCTTATGCAAAGGTCTTAAATTTTAACACAAGCTTTTTAAATCATTTATTGAGGTGATCATGTGGGTTGTTCCCCTTTCTATTGTGGTATATTGCATTAATTGACTGAATGTTCAACCATCTTTGCATTTCTGGGAGAAATCCCTCTTGGTCATAGTGTATGATATAAACTATATGTATAAGTGCTTATATAAACATATAAATATTGCTAGATTCAGTTTGGTGTATTTTGTTGAGTTTTTTTGTGTCTATATTCATAAGTCAAATCGACCTATAGTTTTATTCTCTTGTGATGTCTCTGTCTAGTTTTGCTACAAGCCTTTGAGCTTTATCATTTGTGAATCAGGATTTTGATTTAACTCAGCATAAGGAAAAGTCAAATTCAGTAACAAACGATGTGTCCTCATTAAATAAAACAATAATCAGCAATGTTATCATTACTAGAAGATTATAGGGCTAAACATTAAACTTTTGGCTGTTTTTATTGTGATATATTTAATGTGACTAAAACCATGATTTCAATGTATAGATCTAACTAATAAAAGAAGGCTAGCATGAAGATGGAATAAAGAAATAATTGTTAATTTATTATATATAGGCAATTTGAATGAACTGGTTAAGCATGGTCTGCGTGCTTTAAGAGAGACACTTCCTGCAGAACAAGATCTAACTACAAAGGTAAATACCATGTTTTCCAATTGTAGATATTAACATTACAGTTTAATCATTAATTGCATAAATTTAAGTAATAGAGGAGTGGATGCTTACAGATCTTTAATTTGGGAGATGGTTGCCTTGGCTCATTCTTTTTTTTAAGCTGTTCATTTAGTGATCTGATTTTGAAATTCCTTTTAAACTTTTTTTGTTTTTGTATAAAGCCAATAGGTCTGATGTAGAATGTTCTTTATTCCTTCAGCAGATAGGAGTATCTTTATATTATTAATTTAGTTGACAAATATATGTATTAAGCACATCCCACATGCAGGCACTAAACATTGAAAATATAGTAAACACTAGAGGCCCGGCACATGAAATTTGGGCGCAGATACGGTCCCTAGGCCTGGCCTGCGATCAGGGCCATCTTTCTGGCTGCCGGCAGCCAGCCCCGCCGCCACCCACCCCCAGTTCCCCATTCACCATTGGGTGATCAGAGCCTGCAGGCCGGGGAGGGAAGGACCGAGAAGTTGGCCGTTCCCGCCCCAGCCGTGGGTTGCCCTCTGTGTGTGGGGCGAACAGCAGGGCGGGGGCCTTGGCCTGGTGCTACCCGTGTTTCCCGCCACCCACCCCTAGTTCCCTATTTGCCATTGGGCAATGGGAGCCTGCCAGCCGAGGAAAAGAATCCGAGAGATGGTCAGTGCGCCTCATAGTGACTGGTCGAGTGGTCGTTCTGGTCATTCCACCATTAGGGTAAATTTGCATATTACCCTTATCTACACTAATAAAAGAAACATGCAAATTGACCATCCCTCTGCTACGCCCACCAGTCAATCAGAGTATGCAAATTAACACAACAAAGATGGCGGTTAATTTGCATATGCAGAGCGAAGACTGGAGACAGTGTAGAAGGAAGCCAAGCACTGCAGAAGGGAGTGAAGCTGGGGAGAAGCAAACGGGGCGGCAGAGACAGGAGGGAAGCAAGCTGAGGCGGGCTTCACTCCCTTCTCTGCTTTGCTCCGGCCGCAGGAAGCCCTATTCTTGCAGGAATCTTCCTGCAACAGGCCTCTAGTATAGGATAATAAATATCTTGGCTTTTATGATATCTATATCCAAGTGGCGGGAGATAGACAATGTACCCATAAGTAAGTTATATAGTATATAGATGGTAATAAACACTGTAGAAACAATGAAACAGGGTAAGAGGAGAAAGAATAACCAACTGGATGTAGGAAGGAGGTATGGTCGGTATAATTTAAAACAGGTGTCAAGGATGGCCTCACTCAGAAAGTGGAATGTGCCCTGCTCAGGACACATATACGAATCAACCAATGAATGAATAAATAAGTGGAACAACAAATCTCTATCTCTAAAAATCAATTTAAAAAGAAAGAAAGAGCCCAGCTGGTGTGGCTCTGTGGTTGAATGTCAACCTATGAACCAGGAGTTCACGCTTCAATTTCTGGTCAGGGCACATGCCTGGGTTGTGGGCTCAATCCCCAGGGTGGGATTTGCAGGAGGCAGCCGATCAATGATTCTCTCTCATCATTGATGTTTCTCTCCCTCTCCTTCCTCTCTGAAATCAATAAAAATATATTTAAAAAATAAAAAAAGAAAGTGGAACTTAAGGAAAAGATCTAAAGGAAGTGAGTGAGTGAGCCATACAGATGACTAGAGCAAGATTATTCCAGGGAATCCAAGTGCAAGGAAGGGCCTTGGGTCCAGAATGTTTCTAGTATTCAAGACAAGGAGGCTGGTAGTGTTGGAGTTAGTGATCAAGAAGAAGTGAAGAAAGGAAGTCAGAGAGGTAATGGATTGAGTATGTCCTATGATAAGTACTTTGGATTTTACTATGAGTGGGCTGTTAGAGTTTGAACAGAGGAATACCATGATTTGATTTAGGTTTTAAAAGACACTGGCTGCTATTTTGAGAACAGATTCTAGTGTGAGCATGGGTGGGAATAGTTTTAAGACTTACAGTCATTCAGGTGAGAGATTGTTGCAGATTAGGCAGAGTCATAGAGTTTGAGATGACAAGAAGGGGTTCAATTTTGGGTATGTTTTGAAATTAGAGCTAAAAAGTTTGCTAACAATTTGGTTGTGAGGGTGAGATGGGGGTGCTGGGGAGGAGAGAGATGTCTTAAAAGTTTGGGCCTGGTAAAAGAAAGATATTTATGATTTACTGATGTGGATAAAAAAGGGGAAGAAATAGGTTTTGGTGTAGAGGTTGTGGAGGAAAATCAGGAAGTTAGTTTAGGACATATAAAATTGTTTGCCCATTTGGCTATACAGAGTAAGCAGTTAGATGAGCACCCCCGGGATTTTGGTGGAGAATGTTTAGCCTGGAGTTACAAATCTTAAGAGTCTTTATGTAGAAATTAGATGCCCGATGCAAGAGTAGGCCTTCCTTCCCTGGCCTGTACTAGCTTCCCTCTAGCACCTGGGACCTGGGCTTCCCTCCGGCCGCAAGCAGGCATCCAGGACCCTGACTCCTCCTAGCCCCGGCTTCGTCCAGAAGGTCGTCTGGAAGGACACCCAGTCTAATTAGCGTATTATGCTTTTATTATTATAGATGGCTTATAGAGACTGGACTGGATGTGATTGCTAAAGGAACTGAATAGTTAGACAAGAGGTTTGAAGATTGGGCCAAGGGCACTCTAACCTTTAGAGATTGAGAAGTGAGTAGGTATTAGCAAAAAGGTCTGAAAAAGATGGCCAGGGAGGTAGGAGGGAAACTTGGAAAAAGAGGCATCCTTAAAAGCAAATGAAGAAACTATTTTAAGGAGGAGGAAATGAAAAATTGCTAATCAAGGAAGATGTGGATTGAGAATCATTAGATTAGCAGTTATGTCTCTGGGGACTTGAGTAGACAATCTTAATGGAATGGTGGGGCAAAATCCTGACAGGAATGGAATCAGGAGAGAATGGGAGAAGAGGAATTGATGGACAGCTCTTTGAAGGATATGAGAAATGGGGTGGTGGCTAAAAGAGAAAAAAAGGAGTTTGGTTATTTTGTATTTTTTTGAACATCATTTTTTTTTTTTTTTTAAGAGAGGGAGAGAGATAGAAACAGAGAGAGATAGAAAGAGAAATCATTGATCGGTTACCTCTTGCATGCCCCCTACTGGGGATCAAGCCCACAACCCCAGGCATGTGCCCTGACCTGGAATCGAACCAGCGACCTCTTGGTGCATGGGATGATGCTCAACCAAATGAGCCATACTGGCCAGGCTATTTTGGTTTTTTAGATGGGAGAAATTATAGCGTGTCTGCTGCATGAGAATAATTCAGTATAAAGGGAACCATATATGTATGAGAAAAACTGCTAGACCAATTTCTTTGTGAACAGTACACAGGTGGAAAGTTAGGTCTTAGAGAAGAAATTGGATGATTCAGTAACAGAAAGGGAGAGAATGTAGGGACACAGATACAGGAAAGAGTGGATTCTGTGGGAGCTTGTGAATGTTCTCTTTTTAATTTGCTTTTATTTTCTCAGTGAAATAGCAAGGTTTTCATCTGTAAGAAGAATGGGGAATGGTAGAGTTATCCAAGAGAATGGGAGATTGGATGATCTAGGGACCTGTACAGCACAATGCAGGAACCATTAAAGGCCTCCTTGAAGTTAATGATTATTTATTAAAGTGAGATCAGTCAGAATATTATAAATCCATTTTGTTATAGTGGTTAGATAATTATTTAGTATGTATGTGAAAACTTTATAGCCTGCATAATCTTTTCTAAAATAAATTTTCCTGTTATAAAAGTAATATTCTTTTAAAAAAAATTAGGATCCCTGGCCAGTGTGGCTCGGTTAGAGCATCATCCCATGCCCTGGAAGGTCCCGGGTTTGATTCCTGTTCAGGGCACATACCTAGGTTGCAGGTTCAATCTTGGTCAGCGTGCGTGCGGGCGAGAGGCGGGCCAATCAATGTATCTCTCTCACATTGATGTTTTTCTCCCTCTTTTCTCTCTCTCTCTCTCTCTCTCTCTCTCTCTCTCTCTCTCTCTCTCTCTCTTCCTCTCCTCCCTCTTCCTCCCTCTAAAAATCTAAAAATAAAAAAAAATTAGGAACGTACATTAAATTTTAAAAATGTGTTTAAAATGTCTGTAATGCCATCACTCCAAGGTAACTATCTTTTAAAAGTTGGGTATGGACTGTGGACATTTACAGTTTGGAAACGTTAGCTCAGGTATCTGGCTTTCTGACTTCATAGTTTTACTGAATCATAGAAAATGGCCTTTATATCCGTATGCCTGCAATTTTCACTAAAATTTTAATTTACAGGAGCTATTTTGCAGTGGTTGGCATTCACTGAACATTTTAAGCATTGCTCTTTAATTTTTCCATGTAAAAAATAGTTGCAAGCCCCCACTATATTCAGCTCTTTAGACCCCAAAACTTACTGTTTCCTTGGTAAGAACCATCATCTCTTAACTTATATGAGTGATAAATTTGATTATTTCTTAGGAGTTAGGGTTACTTCCTAGCTAAGTGGTTTGCTCCCTCACACTTGTCTACAGCACATTTCCATTATGAGCCAATGTGCAAATTTTCTAGATGACATAGACCTTTGGGGTTATTCATGATGATCAAAAGTGAGTATTTATTTTTTTTTTTTTTTTTTTTTTTTTTTTTTTTTAAATATATTTTTATTTTTATTGATTTTTTACAGAGAGGAGGGGAGAGGGATAGAGAGTTAGAAACATCGATGAGAGAGAAACATCGACCAGCTGCCTCCTGAACACCCCCCACTGGGGATGTGCCCGCAACCAAGGTACATGCCCTTGACCGGAATCGAACCTGGGACCCTTGAGTCCATTTTCTAGATGACATAGACCTTTGGGGTTATTCATGATGATCAAAAGTGAGTATTTAAATTGCAAATTACAAGAGCTTACTAGTTAAGTGTTATTCAAGTGCTATATAAATTTTTATTCTGCTCCCCCCCACACATTTAACATAAGCATTTTTCAACCTAAATTTTCTCGATTTTTAAATTTTTACCTTTTCCCCTTCTCAGAATGTTTCCATTGGAATTGTTGGTAAAGACTTGGAGTTTACGATTTATGATGATGATGATGTGTCTCCATTCCTGGAAGGCCTTGAAGAAAGGCCACAGAGAAAGGCACAGGTATGTAACTAATCATAACACAAGAGGCTTTGTTCTATAGTAAACTGTTCCTTCTACAACTGTGTAAATCTACCATTTTTGTCTTTAATTATTGAGATAAGCTCATAATTCAAATGGCAGTAGCAAAACTAAGCTGAGTAAAGTAAAATACTGAGGGGGGAGTGGTCTCCATAAACACAAAAAGGGTTGATTAGTTATATATTTTACATTTCTCACAATTCTGTGGGTTGATTGGGACTCAGCTAGATGGTTCTTTGCTGGTCTCACTTGGGTCTCTAAAACATTGCAGTCAGTCCAAGGTGGTTTTACTCACATGCCTTTACTCACACTTTCTAGGTATCTTACAGAGACAGGTAGAAGGCTGGGCCCTCTGTTGGAATGGCTGGGCCTCTGTCCATGTAGTCTTGGGGGTCTTTCTTTCTCAAGGGTCTCTTCAGCAGGGTGGCAGCTCAGAGTTTACAAAAGTTCAAAACATTTTTAAGGCTGAGGCCCAGGACTGGCACAGCATCACTTCAGCACATCTTGTTGACTAAAGCAAGTCATAGGGCCAGCCAGGAGTCTATAGTAGGGGGAACAGAAAATTAACTGGGGACCAGCTTTGGAAGCAAAGTTAGCTCTTCACAAATACTGAGAAAGGATCAAGACCTGTTGGTGAATCTCATTACATGTTGGCCTTTTATATTGGATATTTAGAATGCCCATTTGCTATTGATATATGCTTATTTGCTATTGAAAATAAAGTGTCCTGTTCAGAAATTTCTTCTACAGCATTAGTTTCTTTGCAATTTGAAAAGGGTATTGTTGGTATTTGGAGAAGCAAGATTTGCATTGTTGAAACTGCTGTTGGAAGGCTTTTTATTCTTGAGCAAGATATAAAGTATAATAAAATGCTAGAATTGTTCAGTAACACTATATCTATTTAAAAAACAACAACCTTTGTTTAGAAATTTTAACAGGACAATGAACTAAAACTTGAGTATTGAAAATATACCTAACCCCTTTTTCTCATAGATTTCTTTATAATGTAATATTGCATATTTTCTTTTTTCTTCCTCTCTTAAGCCTGCTCAACCTGCTGATGAACCTGCAGAAAAGGCTGATGAACCAATGGAGCATTAAGTGATAATCCCCCAGTCCATATGTGTATTAGCAAATGCGTAAGAATGCAGGAACATGTACTGATGACAATATTCTATACTTTGAACCAAATGGTATGTTTTAGGAATCAGTCCAGATGTGAGGTTTCAAATTGCAAGCAGCTTCACTGAAACCATATAATGGGATGCATTTTTTTTTTTTTGGAGAGGGTCTATATAATCATTTTCTAGAAAGTACAGTTGCCTTTACTAATGTTTTTATATGAAGAACTCATTGTCTTTCTGGTTTTAAATACAACTGTGAAATAAAATTGTTTCATTGGCTGGTATATTGGTGTTTTGTTTGTTTTTTAAATAGTTTCAACTATATAAATAGTAGTCTGAGATTACATCTGGTCAGTTGCCATGTTTGTAAAATAAATTGCCTTATTTTTAGTGGTGGGGGAAAATAATACCTATTATCTATCACAACCTTAAACCAATTTCCCAGTGTATGGACTGGCTGCATGAAAATTCATGGAGATTTGATTTAGAATCTTCACAGGTAAATGGTGTGGTGTTTTTTCCAACCAGCAGATGGCAGTAGTGATAGCTCTGGTCTCATGTAGGGAATTTTTTTGCAAAAATAGCAAAAGGGAAATTTTAATCTGAAACCTTCATTTCTGCTTATTCCTCCCCAGCCACATTCTGGCATAATCTTTAATCTGCCTTCCATTATCCTTTGAGCTATGTAGCAAGATACAGTACTGCAGAACAATTTTTATCTTTTAAGATTCATATCTTTCTGGAGGGAACTTGGACTTTAGACCTACTTTTACTAGTTAGCTGCTATTGGCTTTGGACAAGTTATTTAGCCCTAATTAAGAAAATACTTTGGCCCTGAGCAGTTTTTCTCAGTGGTTAGAGTGTTGGCCCACAGACCAAAGGGTCACAGGTTCCATTCCTGGTCTAGGATCCATACCTCGGTTGCAGTTCAATTCCCAGCCGAGAAGCAACCAATTGATGTATCTCTCTCACATCGATGTTTCTCTGTCTTTCTCTCTTCTCCCCCTCTGCCCTCCCTTCTGCTCTCTCTAAAAATCAATGGAAAAATTATCCTCAGATGAGGATTAAAAAAAAGAAAGAAAATACTTTGGAGAATTATTTTGAAGGTTAAATCAGATTTTATGTGAAAATATCTTGTATATTAAAAAATTTATAAAATGGTAGTTTAATTTTGTTCTAGGTTGCCCAAAACTTTGTTTTTTATATTTTTATTGATTTCAGAGAGGGAGGGAGAGGGAGAAACATCAATGACTAGAGGCCCGGTGCACGAAATTTGTGCACAAGTGTGGTCCCTAGGCCTGGCCGGCAATCGAAGCACGAATGTCTGGCGTGGAAGAGCAGGTCCCAGTTAACCTCTGGGCCCTGAGCAGCACTTGAACCCCCAGGTTCCCACGCCTCCCCTCCACCTGAGTCACGGTGCCCAAATCCCCACACAGAGATGCAGTGAGCGCGGCTGGACACCACAGGCCGAGGCGCAACGTGGGCCTCTGGTCTGCCCAGCGGTGCTGCATGGAAGCCGGGTGGGCAGCGTGCTCTGTCCTGGCCGGCCTTGCAGACCAGCTCTCGCGTGAACCCACAGGGAGCCCGACCGGCCTCTGCAGTCCCAGCGGCTGCGGCCAGGCCCACCTGGAAGAGGCCACACGGGTGCGGGCAGGCTCCTCGTGGGCACCCAGCACCTGAGCGCAGGGGCTGCCCTGGCGTCCCAGGGGAGGGTAACGGGGAGTGAGCGAGCTCGGCAGATACCCCACATTCTCACTGCACCTCCGTCCCCATCACATACCCTGCCGCCCCTGCTGGTCGCCATCTGTGAGGCAATTGGTCCCCCGCTCACACCGCCTTGGCCTGGTGCCGCCTGCTCACCTGCTCCTCCATCCCACTGTGGTCCCGCTTTTGTCAGGGCTCATCGGGACCAGCAGCACCTCCACTGCCGCCTGCTGCAGATGCCCGCTATGTTCCGCACTGCCCCCTGGTGGTCAGCACATATCATAGCGAGCAGCCGAACTCCCAGTTGAACAATTTGCATATTAGGCTTTTATTATATAAGTTATATAGGATGAGAAAGAATCATTGACAGGTTGCCTCCTGCCCACCCCCTATTGGGGATCTAGCCTGCAACCCAGGCATGTGCTCTTGACTGAAATTGAACCTGGGACCCTTCAGTCTGCAGGCCTGAAGCGCTATCCACTAAGCCAAACTGGCCAGAGCTGCCCAGAACTTAAAAGTGTAATAGATTTAAATCTCTGTGAATTCTTGAGGGCAGAATGATTAAGATAAACTGGCAACCTTGTTGAAAGAAAGACCTCTAACTTAATATTGGATATATGAGATGTTGGTGTTTGTTCTGGAGTAGCCTCAGGAGTCTATCATTTGAACTTGGGACGAGGCCACAAGTACAATGTGGTGGCCATTTAAACAACAATGAAATTGTATCAAGCACATGTGACTCCCACAAACACAAAATAATGCTGAATGAGAAGGAGTCCTCCCACATGCCTTCAGATTCAATGGGTGTATAATCTGGTGGAGGGAGAGTAAGTGGGGAATTTCATAATATGCTCTTTCCTCAGCTATCTTTCCCCTGTGCCTTTTCTGGCATGAGCTTTGTTAAGTGATTATATTATTTAAGCTTATGTGTGTGTGCATCATTTTTGTACACTGTTCTCTAAATGTAAACCAATTACTTGGTTGGCATTCAGTTGGAAAAAAAACCTGATCTGTATTATGCTTTAGGGTCAATTTTAGTAACTTTTTTCAATATGTAATTTTTAGTCTTATGCACTGACTTCAAAACTTGAAATTTTCCTCGTTCCAATAAGATTCAACCCCATTGTACAGAGTTCATTGTGATGCCTTTTCATGTTTTGTCTAATTGTTATACTCAGTTATCCCATTTGCTCTATGTTAATTATAAACAATTCCTAATGTCTTTACATAGAAACTCACTTTGATATACAGATAATATTCAGTTCACATGGAATTTATTAAGCATCTATATGTGCATCTTTGAAGAACTGGTATGATTAAAAATAAGAGTCAATAAAATTGGTGGCAGGATTCAGGTTCTAGTCCCAGCTTTTTCAGTGTTTGGCCATTTTGCATTTTGGGATATTTCCCTTTTTCCTAGGCCTTAATTTCCTAGACATTTAAATGTTTATGATTCTTGATATATGACAAGGTCCTTGCTCAAATAATTTATAATTTAAAAAGCATTCAAAATGATGTAATTACATGCTAGAGTAAAAATAAGTCCCAAAACAAAAGTACATGTTACAACAAGTCAGGAAGAGCCTGGCTGGTGTGGCTCAGGGGTTGAGCGTTGACCCAGAAACCAAGAGGTCATTGGTTCAATACAGAGGGCACATGCTGGAGTTTTTAGCTTGATTCTGATCAATGATGTTCCTCTCTCATCAGTAGTTTATAGTTTGAAAGGAGATAATATTTTACTTGTGTACTCACACTCTTAAGTAGTAATGGAATACTTCCTGATTTTTGTTCACTTACTACGTTTCTATTGAGGTCTATTTTTAGAGAAGGAAAAAGAAACCCTGTTTTATGGCATTTAAACTGATACCCTAATATACAAAAGCTATGTGTGTGTGTGTGTGTTCATACATAGTAGAATGGAATGAAAATTAATGAATAAACTTTAGTTATTTTTAGACCCCCAAAATACTTAAGGTTATAACTAGAAAGGTAAAGAACAAAATCTGTCCTATCTCTATCTCCCTCTTTCTCTAAAATTCAATACAAACATATTTTTAAAAAATAAGTAAGTCAGGAAGAATTAGGGTGTGTAAAGTTCTGCTCAACAACTTATACTTAAGAATATACAATATAAACACTATGTGCAGGCCTTAAATGAGGTTTTCTAGAACATCACATTTTTGGGCCTTTTTTCATATTTAATAGTTTACTTATCTTGGTCGTGGTAAGCCTCAAATTTTATTCTATAATACAATGGAGTCTCCAGGGCAACTGAAGTAGGTATGGTTAATATTACATCCTTGATATGACAAAATTATAGAATGGAGAACAGGTTAGTAGTTGCCAGGAGTTATGCAGGGAAGTGGCTGTGATTATAAAAGGATAGGAATGATCCTTGAAATGGAATTGTACCTTATCTTGATGTGGTGATCACATGAATCTAAACTTGGTAACTAAATACACAAATGAGTGCATGTAAAACTGGTGAAATGGGCCCTAGCCGGTGTGGCCCAGTGGTTGAAGTGTGGGCTTATGCAACGGAAGGGTTAGACCAGGACCGTGTGCTGGAGGCAATCAATGTGTTTTTCTCCCCTTCCCTGCCTTCCACTCTCTAAAAATCAATGGAAAAAAAATACCCTCAGGTGAGGATTAACAACAACAAAAGAACTAGCGAAATGTATGGATGTCAATTTCCAGGATTTGCTATTTTACTATTATTAGACAAGGTGTTATATCACTGGAAGAAACTAGGTGGAAAGTACATGGGATTTCTGTATGTCACTCCACAGTGATCTCAAAACAGTTTTTTAAAACTTAATGCACAGGGTTTGAGGAGCACTCAGAAAGTGCTATGACAATTTTAAGTGCAGACCTTAAATGAGGTTTTTGTGATCTATTTTGGGTGCTCAATAACATTTTTTGCTTGATGGCTCCAAAAAGAGGAAATCTCAAAATAGCTGCGTTCTGGATGGATGAAGCACTCTTGTGTTCTAACTCCCAAACTGAAGTTACCTGTCAATAAGGGCAGTTTCTGTCAGACCTCTTTGTATTCACAACCTATTGCTTAAGACTTCATTTTTTAAAACTTAATTGGCCAGAAAACCCTTTTTGAGCGGGGCGGGGGTATGGAACCTCAAATGCGCAAAACCGAAGGTGCGATGGCTTGCTATAGCTGTATAAACTAGGTCTTTGGAAATAGGTAAAAGCCTTTAAAACAGTGACTGTCAATCCCTTTGTGCATAAAAAAATTTATAATTTACTGGGTGTTCCTAAAAGATCATGAAAGGGACGGTAACCGAAAAAAAAAAAAAAAAAAAAGACCAGAAATCACAAGTGCGACTCTGATGTCGAGCAACTCCAGCCTAAATGCAGAGACAAAGATTCGGATCACTGCAGATGTTAAGAACTGAAATGGATCTTCACATAATATAGTGTTCCTTATTAGAAGAACTCAAGTTACTGACCCGAATAATATTTCGTTATTTTCCGTTGATTAGTGGGTGAACTAGAAAAGGGTTTCCAGCTCCCAATCTTGCGCTCTTTCCCACTGGACCATCCAGCCCTGTGTAAACTGTGTGTC